GGGGGGGGGGGGGGGGGGGGGGGGGGGGGGGGGGGGGGTGTAGTAGGGACGAGCGCGGCAGGTACAGGGCTTGGGTGGTTGCGGGGACCGAGCGTTTCGTGCGGAGTCGACTTGACTGACAAGAACTTTTTTTTGAGGCTGTGCTGCCACGAAGGGGGTGTCCCCAAGGCATGTAGCGAGTGTTGTTGTTGGTGCCCTGCTCGCGAGGTCTGTACGTCAGAACTATCGCATATGTAGGTCTTGGAATCGAATACGCACCCCCGGATCGAAATCGAGTCAAAAGTGAAGTTTGGCGTTTCGCGCTGTGCAGGTGGCCAGGATCGTATCCATGCCGCTTTTGTTTCGGTGCACTGACCGCTCTTCCCTACCTGTTCGACCCAACTAGACACAGCTGTAGCGGCTACGAACCGCCTAAAGAGAGGATCGGGACATGCCGAAAAACTCGCTGTGAAATCAGGTCTTTCTCCGATTCGCTTCGTATGTGTTTCTCCTATTCACTTCGTATGTGTTTCTCACAGGCAGGACAAGCCACATGTGCTCTCTTGTATCCTTGCATTGTACCAAGGATTATCCTCTTAATCGTACCTGCTGTTGTTGTACGGTACGCGACACAGGTCCAGCTGAGCGCGGTCGGAGTGGATATCCCGGAGCCGGAGGGGGGGGACAACGCGGCCTTGGCCCTTACCCTAGACATGCTGGAGATGCCGGCGGAAGAGCTGGAGAGGCGTTTTCGAGACGTTTGGGGTAACAACGCCGACGAAATCAGGTGGGTTACGAAGACGAATCCTTGTTATATGGAGAGCACCCGAGTTTAATATGTGCGAGGTGAATGTGCGGAATCTTGCAACGGCAGATCGTTATCGCACACACTGCTGTGCGAAGAGCGTAAGCCCGCCACTCTTCGGTCGGTACCATGGTATGTGCGAATGGACCCCATTTCACGAATCGCTTGGGGAAGGGGAAGTGACGGAGACGAGTGTTGCCACTGGTTTCCTTGGGACTGAATTGTTGAGTTTTTTTGTTTCTGGGTTCTCTGTTGCTACTGCTGCTGCTGACATGGAGGTAGACACCATACGTGTCCATCCTTCTTGGCGAGGATTGCCGTCAAACAAACCTATGAGCACGAGCTAATGTGGTTCATTCAACAACAGCACACCCTTCTCTGTTTTGTTCCCCTCAAAACGCTTTCTCTACCGCCGTTGACGCTAGTCGTGCCCCCCCCCTATCCGCCCGCTCTGCGGCCCCTCCGTCAACGCCAAAACGACAGCATGCTCTACGCAGGCACGCCGGCTCTGAAAGGCGACTTCACCCGGACGGGACAGCGCACGAAAATGGGACTACTCCAAGACGGGACGAACTCAGCCATCCGCTACGTCGTCAACAACTTCCAGGACCACCGGTAACTATGAAATCGGAGCTGAAAGCATGCTGTGTCTTCTTGTTTTTGTTCTTAATTCTCTAACTTTTCTCTGTTTTTTATCCTATTTCTTGATGAATTGGTGTTGTTCCCCCCTATTTGCAACTCCTTATTTGAGGCCATCGGGAGGCGAGGAGATGTCGTAGTTTGTCATTGTTGTGAAATTAATGTCATTGTTGTAAAATTAATGTCATCGTTGTAAAATTAATGTCATTGTTGTAAAATTAATGTCGTTGTTGTAAAATTAATGTCGTTGTTGTAAAATTTTTGTCATTGTTGTAAAATTAATGTCATTGTTGTAAAATTAATGTCATTGTTTTGCTGCTGCAGTTGTTGCGGGTGATGCTGAGTGTCCATCCAAGGTGTTGCTGCGGTCTGGCTTTTCGTTCACGCTGCTACCCCTTGATCATCGCCGTCTCCCTGCCTTGTTTGTTCCGACCACCCCAAGGCGGCAAGAGGCGGTCGATCTCCTCCTTGGGTTCCACCACCCCGTCGTCGACCAGGACGGCAACATCCTGGGCGAATTCATCCAGGACCCCCTCGACCTCGACCTCTGGGCGACGCGCCTCCCGCAGCCTCAGCAGGACGACGTTAAGAAGGGGCAGTCGGCGGCGTTGGCGGGAGCTAGGGAGAAGGGAGGAGGAGGAGGAGGAGGAGGAGGAGGAGGAGAAGGAGGAGGAGGTACATCCGTGTCGCCGCTGTTGTCGTCGCCAAGAGGTGCCGGTATCGTTGGCTGCGACAATGCGGCGGCAGGGGAACTCGCTCGAGCTGAAACGGTTAGCCGCGGCGTCAACGACAACGACAACAGTGACGTCACCAGTGGGAGAAGTAGGCCTCCCACCAAGCAGGGGGACACGGTAATTATTGCGGCGAGATTAACGCAGGATAGAAAAACACCACGCAGCAATGGACCCGCCTCGCACCTGGATCGAAAAAGGAAGATAAGCGATGCTGAGGTTGCGACGGGGGTGTGGTCGGGTGTCGCTGGGCGTGCGGAAGGCGCTGGAGATGGGCGAGAGGGGGGCTTGGGGACGACGGCTGCTGTCTCGGCCAGAAGAAAAGGTCACCGTGGTTTGGGGGATGGCTAAGAAGATCGAAGAAGCGTTGCAAAATTTTGCATAAGGTAATAATGCCTGCCTGGATCCGAGCTCAGGGATCGACTCCCTCGGCTGATAGTCCTCTGCCCCTGCCATCGTTGTTGCTGGCGAAAGGATTGGCTTTATGAACAAGCAGGAAGTATCGGGGTTTTCTTGAGTGATGTGCATATTGCCGTGGTTAGTGCGCTCGCCATCGAGTATTTTAAGTACACGATATCGTGGTAATAGTCTTTTGTACTGTAGATGTGTGCATGAATGCTAAGACCGAACAGAAAAAAAATTGAGATGAGTCCATACACCATGCACCCGGAAATTTAGAGCGGCTGGCGGGTCTCTCGGAGAGAAGTCATTTTCATCGGTGAATTCGGGTGGTACGTGAACACATGTTTGCAAAACGAGAGGACAGCATAACCGTGGGGGGGTGAGTGAACGCGATGATTCGCAAAAAAAAATGTACTGGCTTCATTGATTGCCACAGCAATATATTGTCCTTGGCTGTTGTCTCCGGGGATATAAGAAAGGATCGTATGGTAGAAGTAGTCTAATATGCTGCAAGAACTTTGTAGTCCACGCTGCTATGTGGTATGATGTAATGACCTGCCACGCATGGTAAGGGCGTCACTCCCGGCGAAGCTCTGTGTATCCCTGTAGTGCTTTTTGGGGGAAAGTCGTTCGGATAAACGGGTTCTCTCCACCGGGATTGACTCCCGTATCTCGTTGTCTCGCAACGGAATGGTGGTTTTACCCTACTTGGGTTACAAGGCATCTTCTTGCACCGAAACCACGCTTTTGCTAGTGCTCTCCTCCAGAGATCGGGATTCCGCTGGCAGCCCTCTGACTGTCTGTGTATATGTAGTGTGGTTCATCATCTACATATGAGGTCGATCATCAGAGACAAGATCGATCGAGCCTTGCGCATCGAAGTATATCGAATCACCAGGTGCAGCGCCCGGATGGATTTTGTGTGCTCGTCTGTACAACAGTGTATCGCTTGTATGAAAGATACATACATACAGACACAGAACAACCATCCGTTCGAGATATAACCTCAGTCGAAGGAAATGTGTTGACGTCTTAGTCTTTGCAGCTTTGCAGTGAGTGGAGGATTTAGGATTGAGGATTGTGGATGCGGTGCGCGAGAATATCCACCGTTTCGGGGGAGCACCGGCGAATCATTTTCGCATCTCGCCGCTTTCGCTGCCGTCAGCACGGTGCACGGTGGACTATGGACATGGCATGTGTAGTGTACATCTCCAAATCTCCAGTGAACCTGCAAACACTGCTGTCACGACTGCATACGGCTCCAGCACACGGCATTTTTCAGCTCGGGGTACAGTAATAGTGTGGGTCTCAATCTAGCAAGGAACAGACAGAGCGTAGAATCGGCGACAGCAGCATTTTTTACGGAGAGATTGCGCAACCAGTCCGTGGGAGATCACGGTCAGAACTTCAAGTTCTCGTGTCCTGCTGCGAGAGCTCGCTTGGGAACAAGAGTCAATAGCAGCATGGGGAACAAGGAATCGTCGCATTCTTCCACGTTCTCAAGGGGCCAGGGCGCCACATCAGACTTCCGGGATGCCTTGACGAGCTTGCCAGGCAGCGCTCCCAAGAACAAGACCGGGAGGTACGTGTACATCTGACGGCAAACGAACGCCCATACTGCTCGCGCTGCTGCTGACGTTGTCGTTCCGGGCGTGGAGTAGGTTGCGTAGTACCTTACTGCGGGCCTTTGGTGGGACTCGGGGGCCAGCGCAAGCGTACCATGTCGCAGAACCAGAGAAGTCATCGTCCAGTTCAGCTGAGAAATATGGTTCTACATTTTTTCACAGATAGTCTACACGAGACGGCTACCAAGCTGTCTTGTTGACCCTGTTCCCCACTGGGGAGATAGATGTCACTACGCTGTCAACGATGAGTGCTAATTTTTAGAAATCTAGAAAATATAGCTAAGGCATTAATCACTCCGCCTGAGGAGTACGAGCGCAAGCTTAAAAATCAACGGAATTGGCGGGGGTCCAAACAATCCAACCTAAAAAAACTAAATCTCGTAAATACTTTAAAACTCGAAAAATACCAAATAATTCGACAGAAACACATAGATTAAAAATTTAAATTGCTTTGCTTTAGTTTTTAAATGGGAGACAACTAGAAGCAGCGCGTCAAAATGTTAGACGTTAAACGGGAGGGAAAACTTAAAATTTCTGTTTTTCCATGATCTGTAAGAATTCTACGTAAATCTGGATGATTAGAGAAAAATACTCCAAATAAATCCCATATTTCACGCTCCCACCAATTAGCGGAAGGAAATAAACTTACTGCAGAGGGTAAAGGGTTTACTTCATCTGTACTATTCTTCTAAATATTATTGACCTTGTTGTTCCTCTATGAATCACTGTTGCTTTTTTTACTTTAGCAGAACGAAAAATTATGGCGGGGATTCAAAGACGAAAAGGTCCTAACGTTATTGGTTTTATGGGGTTACTTCAGCCTTTGTAAAAGAAACTGTTTTGCCTACTAGAAGTATTTATTAATAATGCAAATATTGTTCTCGTTATACTTGCTCCTCTTTGTACTTTTACTTTAAGCCTAATAAGTTGGGCAGTTATTCCTTTTAGTTATGGTAATGATAATGCTGATACTCAGCTGGGAGGTTTACATTTTTTAGCAGTATCTTCTTTAGGTGTTTATGGTGTTTTAATTTCGGGTTGGTCTAGTAATTCTAAATACGCGTTTTTAGGGGCTTTGCGATCTGCTGCTCAAATGGTTTCTGTGAGATTTCAATGGGTATTGGTTTAATCAACGTTTGTTTGTGCGTAGGTACTTGAAATTTAACTGAAATAGTTATTGCTCAACTAAATGTCTGGCTTATATTTCCGCCTTGTTGTGTGCTGCTCGGGAAATCGTGGAAAAACAGAAGTTTTGCTAACGCTATGGATTCATTGCTAATCTATCTTAGACTTCTTCGATAGAGATGGATTCGTTGGGTCATACTGATGAAGTAAGATCTAAAAAGACATGAAGACCGTACATTAGTCCATGGCGCGCCCTCTCCTCCCCATCGCCCCCCCCCCCCCTCCGCCAAGCTTATCAGCAGCAGCGGGGCACCTCCCGGCGTTTTGGGCGCTCCAGCAAGACTTTCGAGGGCGGTTCTTGACGTTCCGATTCTGCAGCCTCCACCCTCACCTCAACCAACTACGTGCCAGCACTGAGGCCGTCACCAAGCTCTTCCTTTCCATCATGTCCCTCACGCGTATGGATACTACAGCAGTGCTTCAGTATTAACGCTCTGCGCTCCTCTGGCGTTTCCCTCATGACCATGGGTGATGAGTGCTATCGCCACACCGCTCCATCGACGACCTCCCCCGAATCGATGCCAACGTTTGGCGATCCAATCATGCAGGAAGGTGACGGCCCAAAAGATGAAGACGGCAGAAGCCACGGGCGTGCTGGCACTGCAAGAGCATGGCCTTAAGGAAATACCAGAGGGGCTTTTCACGCTGGTCAAGCTCAGGGTGAGAGAGACAGACTGGAAAGTGCGAGCAGAATGCCAGGAGAACGGCTGGAATATGGCCGGGGATTTACCTCTCGTGCTAAGCAAGGATCAACTTTGCGCGAACTTTGTGTTTTGTCCTCTGGGGCGCTAGGATAGCATATTTCAGTTTCATTGGCTGGTGCGTCCAACATACAACGAATCGGGTAGAGACTCACGCCCAGAATACGTGGGACGAATTCTAACGCACACATACATGTTCACACCCCCCCCACCTCTCTTTCGCGGGTGGCCTCCTCCTCGAAGCGGGTTGGGTAATTAACTACACTGCCTGTCTGTGCATGTTTTGTGCGTGTGTGGGGGGGGGGCACTGCGCGTGATTGTTACAGACGTTGAACATGGCGTCCAACTCCCTCAAGCTCCTACCTGCGGCGATGAGCACCCTCACCAAGCTCAAGATCCTGCGACTCGATTCCAACAAGCTCGAGGTGCGTACCTCTTCCCGATGACTACTGGCGGCGTCTGCCCGTATGAGACGGCCTTTTCGTGGGTGGAGGAAAAGCACCAAACCGTGGGTCCTTGTTTCGCAATGCTTGTGCGTTTTTCTCGTCTCTCTGGTGCGTTTCTGTAGCTGGCAGGGACCCGTTGAACGACTGAAAAAACCGAAGCGGGCTGTATCTGCGGCTTGCCAAACGAAGGTACGACTGGGCTCCCGGCCCTCCCCCGCTTCGTCTGCGATGGGATACTTGTAAACGACCCAAAGCACTGAGACATGTAGTTCTCAAAGTACCTTGGACAAAACTCCCCTTTCAAGTAGCTGGAAGAGTAGATGGTGAAAAATGTGACGTCGCTTGGAGCAGGGCCAACAAAAGGAACTGCGTACAAACCTCCATGCGCAACTCCTCATTCACTTCCACCACCTACGCCGTCTTGACCAAAATTTTCGTAGCCAATGGTTCAAAGGCCTAAGGTAACAAACACATGAGTATGCCCCCTGCCCCCCCTCCCATCCTTTATTTTCCCCATCTCGCGCGTTCCGTCGGTGCTGCACAGGCTATCCCAGACCTCAGCGCGCTTTCTTCCCTGACGGACATCTCCGCGGGATCAAATCGGCTCGCCGGGGCAGGAGCTTTGGGGGCGCTGCCGGGGTGCCTGAAGAAGCTTATGCTGCGGGATAACAGCCTGGGGGAGGTGCCAGCAGCCGTGCTGGACGGGCTTCCGGCGCTTCAGGTCAACACCCGACAGCAGCATCAGTAATGGATGCCTTGATCAATCGGGGTTTGGGGGCGGGGAACCTTTGGGGTTGGCGTGCTGGGTGAGACGAACCCTGCGGCATTTTCGAACTATTGTCGGTGTTTCGAGGAGAAAGCACCAAGCGATGCCCTACTGCTATGAAGCCCTTCAAACACAACTAGCGGCACATTGCGGAGAAGCAACGAGGGGCCTGAATGTCACGCAGGTTTTGGCAGGGGATTGGTTACGTGAGTCTTCCTCATGAAACTTGCTACATCACGGGTGGTCCCTATGTTAACAGTGTCCTGATCTGTATCGGCGGAGTCGGCCATCAATGAGAAGGTTCTGAAACGCTACCTAGACTTCGCTAGGTTGCCTGACGTTTCCTCGGGTTCATGCTGGGGTGTTGGGCTTGGAGCATCGAGTTCACGCTGGCATGACGTTCTCTGCGCCAGGAACGAACCTATTGTTTTAGACCAAAATAAGCCGCTGGTTGAACAGTCAACACTAGCAACACGACCGATTTCTTTTCGAGCTCGCGTGGGCAATGGCAAACAGTCAACATCAGCAACTTCCCGATTCCTTTTCAGAGCGAGAGACGTTATGATTTAACCTGTTTCTCAAAATCCTTACCCTGTGCGTGACCCGTGGCCGAACCAGGTGCTGGACCTATCAGCCAATGGGATCGAAGGCCTCCCGCCCTTCGGAGCCACGCTTCCGGCCCTGGAGGAGCTCATCCTTGACGACAACTCGTTGCGGGCGTTGGGACACGAGCTGGTGGGGCTGGCAAAGCTGAAGAAGCTCTCGGTTAGATCGAACCGCATCGCGGCCGTGGACCCGTTCAGCGGGCAACAGGTGTGTGTGTTGTGTGTATTCGTCCTATTAATATGTGTTATGGCGATAGTCCCCCCGTGAGACGTGCCATGAGACGTGTACTACACATTTCAGTACATGTAGGGTACTAAACTCTTGGGTTTATTTTTTCGTACAACTACAACCATCCAGAGTCACACAGGATAAAAATAGAAAGTAGCGACATACAGGAAGGGTACTGCTGCACTCCCATGTTGTGATGTTTTTTCTGGTGACCGTGTAAATCGATAGACTGATGTCGCAGGGTGTACGAGGCGAGCAGCGCACAGGAGGTTTTTCGTGTGCTGGCATTGATCGCGTTTCTTGAATTTTAGCTTCAAATCCTGTCGAGTTCCCCGTTTGTCAGAATACGGCCTTGTCGCCGAGCGTGCACACGCACACGCATGACCTATGTCCTTCTTCCACGGCTGCTATTTTCGATCATGGCGATGCCCCGAGGATTGTTGCTCACCTGCACAGCAGTCCAACGCAAAACCGTTGCTCATGTATTGCACGACGCCCCATGGTTGATTTTGTTGAGAAGCACGACAGGGGTTAGACTGATTTAGGCATTACCTTTTGTTGAGAAGCACGATGACCACTGCTGTACTATCAGTCAGCGCTGAGTGGCAGTCCGTTGGTTATCAAGCTTGTCAACAGACTCCACGAGCGAGGTGCTGAGTCGCGCGCATCCTCGTCCCTCCCGGAGTCCGGGCGTGTCGACCCGGGCGTGTCGACTCTCTTCTCTTGGCCGTTAGTCTCCCGAGGGTGCGCGCCTTGCGGAAGCACCGCGTTCCCCTCGCTATACCCTCGTACCCCGGCCTTCCTAGGCTATCTAAAATATCATGTCGACATAGCATAGGGTGAACCAAGCCTTGCGCGTGAAGCTGCTCGCGCAAGGTTAATCAACACGCCAGAACAATCATGCTTGTTGCACTCTCTCCCTTTTTTTTCGTTTTGCACGACCGCCCCTGCCGCACCGCGGCGTCGCAGTCCATATCTCGAGGGTTGTTCGCCGACTCTGCGGTGGAGTCCCTGGAGCTCGCGGGCAACGCCCTCGACAAGACGGACCTGATGCGGATGGAAGGGGTGGACGACTTCCTGGCCCGCAGAGAGAAGAACAAGAACAAAAACTTGCAGGGGGGAGGGATGCTGACACTTTCCGTCTGCGGCCTGGACTAGCGGCGCTTCGTTTTTCGTTGTTTGGCCTGCTGGGCATCCCCTACCGCCGCCAACACCTGTGGCAGCGAAAAGACATATGTTGCTTTGTTCGGAGGTTTAGTCTGATTTCTGTATGTTGTGTCTTCGACTTGGGCAAGGTTCATGTTCAAGGCTATTGTTGCGTGTTTCATCGAAGGGCCATGTTGGCGAAGGGCAAGGTTGGCGCGGCCAAAGGCGCGCTTGTTGTGGTATCCCCATGCCTTTGCTGTCTCGGCACAGGCAAGTTGTCCTTATCATTTGTAAGCTACTTTGAATCAGCGTTTGAAGGTGTGGTGTATTGAAGTGCATTTTTATTCGGGTTGTGTTTCTTTGGAGACCCTGTAGCACGCTTGAATTCAATACCTCAGTGCTGCACATATACGACGGCATAAAAAGGTACCAAACCTCTCGTAAGAACTCAGGCTGCAGGTCAGGCCGCGTTTGTACAGGGTAGGCTGAAGCACCGGCGGCGTGTTTGTCCATAATGGTAGTGTAGCTATAGTGATGGTGTCGACAACAATGTCACCTTTTTGTATTGTTCTTTTTCCACCGAGCGAACGAAAATTAACGTATTTGTGCACTTCGAGCATCTGTCCGGCATGTTGCGTCGGGGTGCGCTGCATCCAGACATCGTTCTTCTATCAGCGGGTGACTTAAACTCTGGTGTATTGTCCAGCCATGCACGACATCACGGTTGTGCTGTAACATCCGTCCCGGAATAATGCTGCCGTTGCTGTCTGTCCGAATCGACTAAACTTCTTGAGAAAAACGCACGCACCACGCGAAAGATGGGAGTATTCCCCATCCACTTGATTCATTGCTAAGCCCAACATTCATTGTAGGGGTAGAATGGAAGGGCCTCGCCACACGCGATCTTGTCAACCGTCCCGAGGGGGGTGATGCGGGGAACCGTAGATGCATGCAACGGATTTCGAAGACAAAAATGTTGACGTCACACTACGTATCAAACGTCTACAGAAGGCACCGCCACATAACCTGTAATTCGCCCCCGAGGCTCGCTTCTCACTGACTTTGAAGGGTAACCAACTCAAAAGCGACTGCCTCTACTTCGTTAGGTCTTAGATTAGGATGCTTCCCTTACCAATTTCTAATCATCAAGCTGTCAATCTTCTCGTTCATCTTGAGCAGGAACTTCGCTACCCCCAGGCTCTAAAACTAGCGGTGACGCTTTCTGTGGCATGCCCGAAACGCTGATTGATAAGGCCACGTACCCACATTCCATCGGTCGCGTTAAGTTGACCCGGCAATGGACGTCAGGGTGGGTGTCTATCGCATTGGAATATCAAAACTCTGATCTTGGAAGGCCTTGGGCTACCTTGTTCCACACTGGTTTCGATCATCTGTGCCCTTGACCGCCCCTTTTGCATCCACATCACGAGATATGGCAAAACCCACAGTACCACCACAACCCTATTCCATGCGCGCGTGACACAAGACGCCTCACTGAAGTGTCTCCTCCCGACTGTATGTCTTCGAAACCACTCTACACGGGAGGGATACAAAGGATGGTTGCTGGCCATCTCTTGTCCGTCCAAGGAATGCGAGCGACGGTACTGCTTGTCATTGTCCGACGCATCGCTAGAAAAGAGGAAAGACAATGTTCTGCACAATTTCTTCTGAGTGTTGTTGATTTTTTCGACGACATGCATGTACAAAACCCCGAGGTTTGCTTGTTTGTACTACATTTTCCTCGCCCGTGCCCATAAGCGCGTTGGCAGCACGTACAGCATCACGCTTTGCTGCATGTCACACAAATGACGAAAGGCAGTTCTTGAAGTAGTAGGTTGGGCACGGACCAGTCCCCAACACCAGACGTATCAGGGTTTACAAGATATATAGTCTATGCGCCACACGCAACAACCTACAGCAGTAGCGTGATGCGCCCATCCGTACGAGCTTCTTCATCGCGTTGCCAGTGTCTGCTGTTGAACCGGGTTTCTTCCACCTCGACATCTTACCAACCTTCAAGAACTCCCAGCATCAATCATAGTGACGACTGATATTTAAGGTTATTTTCAACTGAAATTGCACGTTTGCAACGCCCGGTGGGAACCAGACTAACTTGACTTCAAATAAAAAACTAATGAAAACCCGAAGAGAAACAGCACAGTTGCCCGCAGCAACCTGCGATTCCCGGTTCCATGTTATTCGTGCTGCGTTCTACTCATCATTATCGTGCCTACCTTCGGCTTGCGATTCGGGCCCCTCCGCCCACTGGGGGCGACGGGGCCCTTCAACGCCCTTGTAAAAATAAGAGTAACGAGGGCAACATTAAAACGTATACGCACTGCAGACAGGAAACGACATGCTGAACAAAAACGGGCACGCCCTACACCGAAAACGGCACTCAAAGGGACACGGTCGAAAAAACTGAGGCAAGGGCGGGAAGAATTTGCACTGAAGTGAAGAGAGGGAACGGACGAAGATGGAGTGCTCACCACGATATTCGGCGAGAGGTCACACTCATCGAGCAATAAGATTCCCGCAGCAACTGCGAAGTCGTGAAGAAAGATCCGGCGGCAAGGGGTGCCGGCTGCAGTATCTAGGAGTGGCTGACCATCCCAGGCTGCGAATGCCAAGGCAGTCGCGGAATTGAAGAAGCAGTGTGTTGTCCTGGTTGGGGACGAGGTGGGCGACTCTGCGGGTTGCACCTGGGCCGTGGCAACCGGTCCGTTTTGCTTGTTTCTTGGGTGGCCGTGGGCCGGCTTCTTCGATGTCGTCCAGGGAGGCGTAGGCAGGGGTGAAAGACACCAGGTCTTCGAGGAAAAGCTCCATGGTAGCCTCGTCCAGACGGCGCAGGTAGCTGACGATGACGATGATGCCTGGGTTTTTGAGGCTGGTTGAGCTCTTGCAGGGTAGAACGGAAGAGAAGGTTCAAATCGTCAAGACCGGTTGCACGCGAAAGGGTAACAACGTAGACGGCGGCGCAATCCATAGCATGCCCCGGAGAGCGGCGAATGTTGAGGATGATCTTGGGCATGGTTTGCCCCTGGCTGCGGTATACCGGCGATAAGCACCCGACTGTCCATGGCACCTGTCGACTCTTGTGTGTGAACTTTCTTTTGTTCATGCTCACAACTGTGAATTTACGCCCACCCGGTGTCCCGGCAATAACTCCCCTTCTGCAACCCATTCAAGTGCAGGTCGGCGCCGCCTTGATGTAAACAAAGATCCTGAGTAGCGCGTACCGAAGCGTAACAACCGAGTAGCCCGCGCTACTGCTGTCGTAATCCTCACGACGGTCAAGCTCAATCCCACGGATGATACCGTCGGAGTTGTTGAATACCCCGAGTAGGACGAACTACTTTGTTAGAACGACTTGTGCACCGATAGCAAGGCATGTGCCAGTGGGGAGGTAGCTTGTTTTGCCGTCGTCGAGGGACGTTGTTTCGTGACGAAACCCTGATCATGGCGCGTCCGTTGGTGATGCCTGGTGCGTACGGAAGTTGCAAAGGTTTAATCATGGCTGATGTTCCAAACTTGGTCTGTAGGGCCCAAAACGTTTGGCATGCTATGTCATACGGGGGCTGGGAAGGCGGAGCACATTTTCTATGACAAGTGCAAATACACCAAGACAAGAGGCCGGGAATGCTCGTCAACATACAAGAATTCAAGGAGAAAGATGCGAAGGACTGGGAGGCCAACACCACTCCCCGTAGTAACCCCGAGTTGTATTTGTACTTGTCACAGAAAATGTGCTCCACCTTCCCAGCCTCCATGACGTTCCGGAGGTGGGTTCCCGCGTAGTCGCACGTGGAGCACTTGTGGCTGGCACCCTCCGGCAGTCCCAGCAAATCCTTGCCCAAGCATTCGCTCCCGTCGGCGTGGAGGTAGACCGTGCGGCGCATCTTGTTCCGACGTTTGACACCGCGCTTCAGGTGCAGCATCCGGAAGTATGGAGTTTCCGGTCTAATGAGGGTCCTACAAGAAAGGCAGGTGAAGGGCTTGGAAAACCTCTTCGTCATATTCTCCGCGTCATCGGGCTCAGGCGTCGAGACGGAGATGCTCTCTTGGCAGTCCGTCCAGCTGGTATTTCAAGAGCAGACAGAAAGGGAGGGGACGGGCCGGTTACCGCCGCATGTCATAACAACAAATATCAAGATTGACACTGAAACGGGCGATTCGTTCATGGGTGGACTCGAACAGAGGATAGAGCGAGGAGATTCATGGGTGGTGATGCTTCATCTACTCCCAAAAATGCACGACACCTACTTTGACCTATTGGTGGGGTTCCATGTGCGCCATTTGCGCACGTGGCTACCGCAGCAGTGCATAGTGTATCGAGGTGATTCCATACAGGCATTTGCATTGGTGTGCGGCAACCGCCGCGTACGACACCTACTATTATATGAGTGAACTCGAACAGAAAAAAATGAAGGTTGAGAGCAGGGGGGTTCATTGGTGGCTGGCTGTGCTTCCTTTGCATGCAACAACAGCAACGAGCGGTGGTGTATTATAGCAGGCGAGTCCATGTATGCACTGATGTGTGGAAACCGCCGTGTACGACACCTGTACATGAGGTGTGCTGTGTGCATCTGATGTTCATCGCCGGCGCACATACATGTTGAAATGGAGAAGGGACTCAGTAACGTTTTTTTTTGGCGGACTGGTTTTCGGCGGTAAGGCCATTCGGCGGTAATTGTTTTGGCGGTAGGCGGTAGTAAGTTTTTTGGCGGTCACAACTTTGACGGAGGAATAAAAACAATAAAATGGCGATAAGCTGTCGGCGGTATGGCCATATGGCGGTAGGAGGTATTACATGTTTTGGCGGTAACGACTTTGACGGAGGCGGAAAAACAAAAACTTGGTCGTAATTTTCGGGGTATTGCCATACGGCGGTAATTGTTTTGGCGGTAGGCGGTAAAGCGTTGGTTGGCGGTAACGACTTTGGCGGAGGCGGTAAAAGCAAAAAACGGCGGTGAAACGGCGTAATACCGGGACCGTAACACCACGAAGGTGATTTCACGGCGGTAAAGATTGCCGTTGCCGTGTGGTCACAACTTCAAGCGACACCAAACAAGGCAGCAACTGCGGTGCTAAGTTACGACGTCCAAACAGACGGCAAACCTGTTTTGTCGAGGATTGACCGTGTACTGCTATGGTTTGTTTTGTCGCGTTCACCAGTGGCTTTCACATCTTAGAGTCAACTGGACGTCAAAACATAAACGGAGAGGCGAAAGCACGTAAAAACGAAAAGAAAACAATGTGAAAACAAAAAAATAAGATACATTCGCTGCTCGACACGACCCACACGATCATTCCTGGTATCTCATTGGCCAAGCTCGTTGTTGTGCTGGATCATGCTGGGCGTGGATCAGGTGTGTGGTGTGTGCGGGGTGTGCGCGCCTCCTCGTTTCCCTGTCCACTCAATATATTCGACGGGTTCTCCCGAAACAAACCCGAAACAAACTCCAGAAGAACCAAAGAACAAGAACATATGGGAAAAAAACATGACAACAAAACGGCGGGGAAAAAACACGTCCAAAGTAATACGTAAGTCCACTGGGGGACTCGTCTACTGGGGGACTCGAATTCCTGATTCACACAGTGTTTGAGCAGTAGTGGACGAGGTTAGACCTTTACTCACTCAGTCCATCGTTCGGAGGTACCGCACCTATATGGCGGTAATTTTTCAGCGATAATGCCGGATGATGTTTCTGCAGAACCTGGTGCACCTGGCGGAGGAGACGGGGGCGGGGCCGTCGTGGGGAACGCTGTATGCCGATGACGCCTTGTATCGAAGTCCACTGACGGGCTGGCGAGAATGATGGCCGTCATCGTGGAAGTGTTCGGGGAGTTCGGGCTGACGGTGTCGGAGAATAACACGGAGACGCTCCTGACGCGCGTAAAGGAGGAGGACCAGCCAACACCGCCGCCCTCACCGTCACCGCTGATCATCGACGCAGCGGGATAGAGGTACGCCCAGAGGACTGAGTTCCGGTACCTAGGTGGCCCCGTCAACGAACATGGCGACGTCACCCGGGAGACCAACTACTGGAGCAGAGCAGCGTGGGCGTAGACATGGCCGGGAGCTCTTCGACCGACCAAAAGCACCGTTTCGATTCAAGACCGTCAGCTCCAGGCGGAGGCGACGGAGGCGTTGCTGTACCGTTGCATGACATGGCCACCACGCTGCGACCATTACCAGCTGTCGCGGTCGATACACCACCGGCTCCTTCTGCGAGTTATCGGGTACCAGCGTAAAAGGGGCACCTATTGGCAACTCTCCACGCCCAGACCCTGAAGAGGGTCGGGTGTCGGAGCGTGGAAGCCACTGTTCGGAAGCGGTGCCTACTGCTGGCGGGAGCATTGGCAAGGTAGCCGGACGGGCGACTCCCGAAACGGCTTACTATGTTCGGCGACCTGGTCAGGGGGGAGAACCCACGCAAGGGATGCCCGGAGCAGAACTGACTGACGTGCCTGAAGGACGTTCAGGGCTACACCGGGACCACGTGCGACGAGCCATGTGTGTTCGGAGTCCCGAAATTAATCTGTACGGAAGCGGTGAAGGTCGAGCGGAAGCGGGGGGTACCATGGCATACGGGGGTGGGTACGACAGGGAAGTAAGATGTTCATATCGCCTGGCACAAGGATGAAGAGGAGGATAGCCGGCGACGAGCGTTGAAACGAGACAAGGAGAACAGCGTACAGATATGATAACAAGGGAGCGAGAGGAGGGCAGTCGCCGGACGAGACGGCGAGGGAAGAAAGTTAACGAGAAGGGGCAGACCGCGTGAAGCGATTTGAGTCGAAATGAACTCCTTCGCTGATCCCCCCCCCTCTCCGTGATTGCACCATGGCATCAACCCCCACGAGTGATAACATGTCTTGGCTGTTGCTGGTGACCCTGATTGTGTTTGCTTGCTTGTGGTGTGGCGAGTGTCGCTAATTTGGCTGTGTGTCTTTCGATGGCTGCTCATTTTTCCTGCCTCGTTTTCTATTTCGTTGTCATGATCTATATTTTTTCTTTATCCTTTTCCATCTCCTTTGTCCTTTTCCTTTCTTGCCCGGATGGTCTTCTCTCTTTCTCTGTGCAGTACCAAGATTTGAACGAGGGGATATACCTCTCCCTATCTGGCCTGGGATATTGAATTCTAGTTCATTGCTGCCCCACACAGCGCGCGTGTGTGTAGAGGGGAGCGGACGGCCTCAGACTATCATCTGTCGCTGATTAATATTGGCTTGCGGACCCTTCCGGTCAACTTTTTCTTGACATCCTTTTTGATTAAGTTAGCCTGTGAGCACGGGAATCGCCCGGTTTGATCAGTACTATACGATAAAGGCTGACCATTTGACTACGTGCACAGTCATCGGATGACTGTGCACGTAGTCAAATGGTCAGCCTTTATCGAATAAAAGATACACTCTCGGCTCGTAGCCAATCCCAGTGGATCTGATAGGGTGTAGTGATCTCCGGGGACGGACCCCTTGCCAGGCGCTGCCGAGAACAGAACTATGGTGCTTTTCGTAGAGTGATCAGCCCGGGATTTGAACCTGGGCGTGTATCCTTTGATAGTAAAGGCTTACCCGTTAGACTACTCAGTCAGCGCTGACTGCGTAGTCTAATGGTCAGCCTGTATCGAATAAAGGATTCACACACGGGTACGAATCCCAGTGGATCGCTTTCAAGGCACCATTATCGGCTAATAGCAGCATCTTGTGGCGAGGGGTCTGTCCCCGGCNAGACTACTCAGTCAGCGCTGACTGCGTAGTCTAATGGTCAGCCTGTATCGAATAAAGGATTCACACACGGGTACGAATCCCAGTGGATCGCTTTCAAGGCACCATTATCGGCTAATAGCAGCATCTTGTGGCGAGGGGTCTGTCCCCGGCGATCACTACACCCTATCAGATCCACTGGGATTGGCTACGAGCCGAGAGTGTATCTTTTATACGATAAAGGCTGACCATTTGACTACGTGCATAGTCATCGATAACTGTGCACGTAGTCAAATGGTCAGCCTTTATCGAATAAGTACAGACAGATGAAGAGATCGGAAAGCTTTTTTATATGAAGACAACGACAACGACAACAACAACAATGCCGTATGACGATAAAATATCTGCGGTATTGACACATGGTGGCAAACGTTTCGGCGGTAGGCGATAATACGTTTCTCGGCGGTAACGACTTTGGCGGAGGAGGTAAAACCGAAAAACGGTGGTAAAACCGCGGATTACCGGGACCGTAACACCACGGCGGTAGTTTGACGGCGGTAATTTGACGGCGGTAATTTGACGGCGGTACAAGTACCGAGTAAACCCATGAAAAAAGCATGTAGGGGGAACTGACAAAATGGGTTACACCCCGCTTAAAAGTACTCCGGAGTACGTGGGCATCGAAGCACCAACTGGCATACTCGCCGCGCCCGACGCACACGCACGTACGTGGAAAACAGCAGCAGCAGCAGACTATACCCCACAGAGTGCAGAAGACCGCCCCACAGCAGCAGACCGTCCCGCTGGCTAAGTACAATGTCTCACCTCGTCCCCCAATTCTCGCATCCCGTCGTCTCGAAAGTCGTGCCGCGGCAGTGGAGGCATGGAAGAGTGGCGCGGCTTCGGTGGTAGGTGGACTTCGGCATGACTCAGGGGATCGGTGCCACCCTCTCTCTTGAAAATCGACCCACATTTCAACGATCTTGCGCTTCCGACATGTCCGATGAATCCGGTACGCTCGAACAGAGGATGAGTGGGAGTGGAGTGGAGAGAGTGTGCCGATGTGGGGCGCTCGGCGCTCGCGCCGGGAGCGGGGGGCACTCGGCTGGGCGAAAGTCTTAATATTTAAGTCAACTAGTGCAGAAAGAAAAGAAGGGAGACACGGTATTGGAAAAAAAAAAAAAGGCACGGAAACGACGAGAATTTCTCAATTTCTCGTCGTTTCTACCTACGCATGCATGCCTTCGAACCCTGTTCCTCCTCACAGCGCATCACCCCCATCTCTTCCACTCTGTCTACCCATTACACGCACGCACAAAGTAGGTACTCTTCATTTGCCTGTACTTAGGTACACAGCAGCACATCTGTTCTCGGTCGTCCCTGTCGTCCGCCAGCACAGCAGTAGCAACAACCAAACAGCAACTTTCGGCATGCAGAACCATGTCGCAAAAGCTGTAGAAAGGAGCTTATTATTTATGTAGGTCGCAGAGTCTCCCAGCACGCACGAACAACAGATACCAGCGCAGGGCAGCTACTTTGTCGGCGTGGGTATGTGGGGTTTGAGGTATTATTATTTTAATTTTAAATCAACGATCAAAACAACAAAAGCAATCCGCTCGCCGGTGCTGTATAACGTGAAACGTCCGGCCCTCGCTCCTGGACAGCAAACGCTGACTACCGACACAACAAGCACATGTCGTCACGCCATGTCGGCCACACGGAATTAGTCTACAGTTGAGCGATTCCGAAACAATTTTGATTCCCGAGATACGCGTTGACACCCAAGCAGGCTTGGCGCGGCGTGACGATCAAAAAAAGAAGAGGACCCGCGACAACCCTCGACGACAAGTCAACCTGATGGTCGATCTGATGTCAACGCAGATCCATGTTGTCAACGAAGAAACTGGTTCTCGCCCCACAGAAGCGATAGCTGCTCAAACAAAGAAGTCTATCGCAGTTCTCCTAGGTTCGCAGTGTGGGCTGAGATCGGCTTTTGAGACCCGATCGGTCAAAGGGGAGAGGGTTATGCGAAAAAAAGGACAGTCAGCAACCAGACCGAAAATAACAAATTTTGTCGACAGAGGTCAAGCTCAACGCCATCCTTCGGGTCGACAAGAAAAAATCGAGCTGGGTGCGCACGGAAAGCCGTCTTCTCTGCGACCGTTCATTCGGAGATACTTTGCATCAATATGTCATGTACAGAAGCATGTGGGCGGCTTTTTGCTGACAGAGGGAAGAGGAAAAGCGTAAAAGCTGGTGCGTTGTGCGCTGTTTATCAGTACGTACGTCTGTACGCTCCAATAGCACGACGAGTATCTTTCGATGTGCGGTCCATGTGGGTCTGCCATGGACTCCCTACACAGCAGGCAGAGTGGATGAGGTCGTTTCTGCCATGTGCTACTGTACCACCAAGAGCCAGAGAAAGAGGGGGCTCGGGTTTGTCCAGAAAAAAACTCATGAAAAGCTGGGGAGGAAGACCGGTCCATGTACGTATGTGCCATCCGAAGGTTTTTCGGGTGTGCAGCCCCAAGAGGAAAACTGGAAACGGTATCATCCTGTGGAACCAAACAAATCGCTTGCAGAAACCCAGCACAAATCTACAAGATTAGCAATCGTCACGACAGGTATGCGTGCAGGTATGCTCACGGCCCAGGGTCTCGAGACTACAAGCCTTTCTCCCCAGCTCAATGGTGTGCCTTACGCATTTCCCTCGCGTCACGATTAACCCGCAACGATCAGGATCAGATCGAGGCTGCAGGGACGACGGGCCTCGCACATCCCATAGGTCAAGCATCAAAGCAGGTCCGTGGTGTACAACAAATTCATCCCCCAGTCGTGAGTCCCAGCGTGTTGGGTGTCGGGTTCTGCTGGGAAAGCCCCGGCACAAAAGAACATACAAGTTACGGTGAAGCGGCAATTTGCACTACTTGCCAATCATACCAAAGATTTTCCGCAGTCTTTGTGGACGTCCAGCTCTTACGTTGTTGCTCGCCTTCACATTGAAACAATTCTGGCCTCTTCCAATTTCCTCCAAAATCCGTCCAGATAATCCAACCGGAACGAGTAGTGTGGAGGACCACACGACAAAACGATAGAATACAAAAATAGCAAAGTTCCGCGAAGAAATGCGGACAATCGCGGACAGCACAAGGTAGAACTTGAATCATTGCAGGAGCACAGGAAACCAGACAAGGTCTCGCATACGCCAAGCCGTTGACATCACACAACAATCACACACACAACCGTCACACGGCTGACACTTGCAACTCCCAAAAGCTCTCAAGTGAACACAGGTGGAAACGTAAAAATCATGCCGCCGTAGGACAACAATTCTGCAGCACGCGGCAAGGTGCGAACTTGGCGACCCCCCTGCAGTCTAGACTCAAACCGATAAACATCAGAAAAAAAGCAAGAAAAAAAAGCAACAAGACGAAAACAAGTCGGGCTTCATCATCCAGGAACTTGAGCTCTTCAAACGCGGAGGAGTGCTATCCGCGAGCTTCCACGAGAGCTCGTCTTCGCCTCAGATGGAGTGCGGGAGCTGCCGGGAAAGGGCGGCGGGCAAAGAAGAACAGAGTCAGAACGGCAACAAGGGAATCAAACCTGGGCAGGGCCATGAAATAACAATGTACGAATGGGTGTACGAAAAGGTAGCGCGGCAAACGAGAGCTACCCGAGCAAAGCGCTCGAAACGGCGGTTGAGGTAGAGCACTCGTTGCCTGCAGTCCGGTTGACCAAAAGGCACAACATCACGAAAAATACAAATCGAGACAAATAGGACGCCCAAAATCGAAGCAAATGAACCCCCGCAGGCCTTCGTCGACGGTGGACCACATCGCATTCAAGCGTGCGTCTGCAGGACCAAAATCTACGGAGATAGACGTGCAGATGGCACGTACTGCACGACAATGAAGGACATTCTGCTGGGGATCGTCCTACCCTGGCAGCCTAATAGTCGGAGGTACGAGCGCGATGCTGGGATGCTCTCGAAATAAACGATGTTTCCTCTCAATCAAGGCAGGATCCGCGTGACGGACTAAGAAAAAAAACACACACAGAGAAAGACTACCCATTCGATATATTAACGCCGCACACCTATCGAGCCTCAGCATGAGTCTCGGTGACGTGGAGCAAGAGTTTCATAAAAAGAGTAACTTCGGTTTCATAAAAAACGTCAGTCACGGAGAGCACAGCAACGAAAAGACGGAACAAAGTTCACACTCAACGCCGTGCGCCCGGCACGCGATCGAAGAGAGCCGACTAACGACTCGACTACAAAAGCGGGACACAGCAACAGCAATCTAGTGTTCGTTCAAGGTGCCAAGTGTGATCCATGGTGTTGACCAAGACAAAAACATCCCCTCGGCAGGGAATATTACGGTCGCACTCACTTCTCTTTCCGCTGTTTCGTCGCTCCCGGCACAGGAACCCTCCATCTCTCACGCCCCGTTACCCGCCTTGCCGCCTCGATATTTACGCGATGAATACACATGACGGCTTTGTGGACCCCCCCCCCCGCCTCCCCCCGCCCCCTTCACGTCCCCTCGATGACGTCGTGTAAATCCTCCTCACTCGGCGATAACATAACTTCTCGTGGCCGCCGGCGAGCCTCCAACACTTAGTTGTCCTTCTTGTCCCGTCTGCTGCAGACCCGCATCCCTCTCGCTCCTACTCGATCGCTTGCCGGAACACCTCCCACATCCAAAACAGAAACGACTACAGTAATAGACAGCAACATTGTGAGCAGTACAGTACATATTACACCACAATCTACGAAACATTTATCCACGCGACCCAAACGTCCAACGCTAAAGTCTGCTATACAGGCACGTTTTCGCGCGCTTCGCGGAACGGAAAAGACTCCTCGCAACACACCTCAGTCACCTCTAGCACCTCTCGCACCAACATTGCAAAACAATCCCTCCAAGCAAAAGGCGGCGCAATTACGCACTGCCTGCAGCGAGGCCTAACAGCAACGTGCCATGCCACCAGACCAACCAGCAACACCAGGCTCATTCGTTTCGGACATATCCCAGCAAGCTTGTCTGATTCCCCCCGCTTTGGCGCTATGTCAAGACACTACTTGCGCGCACCTCAGGAAACTCCCGTGGGCGCTACGCGATGCCCTCTATCCATGCGGACACCAATCACTCCGGAATACGACCGCTTCCAGTGCGGAACAACGCCGCGGGTCTCGACTTCATCACAATCAACGGGGCTATTACCCCAGCCGATAGGATGAGCAGGGCGAAGAAGTAGGGCCACGAGAAGTAGCGGATATCCAACGCCGAAAGCATCGCGACAGCGGCAGTGCGGCAAGCAGTGCTCGAGTGCGACACGGGGACAACAAGGAGGGGGGCAGGAACCAACTTTCCCCCCGCTTTCGGTTTTTATAAAAGCAGGATGCTCTGCGTGGCCAGCGAAATGTTGCAGCTGCCTCTATCCAGTCTCAATCACGCGACACACCTGCCTGGTAGACACCGTTTGTGTAGCATACACTGCCCTGGCGAAACCACTGCACCCTCTCCATTCCGAGCTTCCCTTTGAGCAAGTTGTTCAACAGATTGGGCTGCTGCCCTGTTTTGCAGCAGGTACATGACGCGTCCAAAACGCCGGAAGACTCCATCGCGCTAGCTGCAATACATCTGCTATAGCACACTCAGCACGCGTTGCAGTGAGCGACGACCAAGGGAAGATGGACGACTGGGAGGGGGATATGGAGGAACAGATTGGCTGGTTCGGTGACATAGGGCAACATCACCAGCAAGATCAACAGCAGCAGCAGCAGCAGCAGCAGCAGCAGCAGCAGCAGCAACAACAGCGACAGATGACACCTGAACATGTAATGCTTGCAACGGGCAACAACCACAACAGTAGCGCCGCCGCCGCCGCCGCCGCCGCCGCCGCCGCAGCAGCAGCAGCAGCAGCAGCAACAACAGCAGTCGACACCAGCTCCGCCCGCGTCGGCATCAACAGCAACACCGAAAGCCCACCATCATCACCACCGCCTCCGGCACCCTTGCCCACCCCGGCAACCCACGCGTATCTCGGAGAGGCGACCACTGGCTCCTCCTCCCTGTCGAGGAAAGATCTGGAGGAGGGCTCGACCGTCGAGATCCCGATACTAGCGCTGCCGGGAGTGGTGCTGTTTCCCGGCGAGTCTCTCCCGCTGAGGTTGCACAACCCGGCCTACGCGGACTTGGTGGGCTCTTTCCTCGGTGGCGGAGCGGGCGCGGGTGGCCGTGGCGGTAGTGGTAGAGGGGGGGGGCAGCAGGCTGCGAGGCATCTCGGTGTGGTTAACAGGCTCGATTCGAGAAGAGGCGGGTAAGTTGACTCGTACTCGTACCTGCTACTTGTAACCCACAGCAGCAGCTGCTGTACATGCATAGCAGGCTGCTGTGGTGGCGCACAAGTCTATTTGGCTAGCAATGGGAGAATCATGCTGCGGCGTCGAAAATTGGCTCGAAGTTTTGTCGCGCCCCTCAGATTTTCCAGTCTGTCCTGCTCGCGCTCCCTCCCTTCAACTGACAACGACACCTATCACATCATCCTAGCGTCCTTACAGTTCGCTCATGTATGTGTCATCGGCATCGGTTGCAAATTGTGATATGTGCTGAGGATCTGGGCAATTGTAATCATCAGGGGGCTCACGCAATTCAGAGCAGGAACATGCCCCAAACTGCATTTCTTGCCCTCAGGCCAACTGTAAGGAAAATCTTCCCAGATGGGAATCCCGATTTTACGTACATGCAAACCCGCATAAGGCCGCAAGGGTTCTGCGTACTTTGTTGGAAATGCACACAAACACGCTTTGGCACTCGGTACTCGCCTTACAGAGACCCGTTTGCGTTCAAACCTTCGACGCCGCGCAGTGCATTGCTGTGAGCCTCTTCGAGCCAAGTTTGGCGAGCTGGGGTGAAGTGTGTGTTCGTTGTGCTTGGTAAGATAGGAATTCCAGTTTGGAATTGCTGGACGATCCTGGTTGGAATTCCTCATGAATTCCCAGCTGGAATAGGTTGGAATTCCAAACTGGGAACCGTGAATTTGCTTTCATATCATTGCAAACTACGCGCACACTGCACTGTAGCTGCCCAAACTTGGCTCCGAGAAGTTCACAGCAGTGCAGTGTACAGCCTTGTCGGTTTGATAACAAACAGGGGTCTGTGAGGCGAGGACGAACTGACGAAGTGCCTTGTACGCTGTGCTTGCTGTCCAGTGCGCAGACCTCCTGCTCTTTCGGGGGTGGTTGAGACTTGTCTGTCGATCCCCCGGATTCCCATCTTGGAAAAAAATCCATAACAACTGGCCTCAGAGAACAGGGGTCCGTGAAATTTGGACCTGTTGTTGCCGCCCGTGCCTTTTTTTTGTTTTTTGTGGCCCGTTTCTTAGCTGCCAAAATTATGATATGTTTTCCGTACCGCGGTTCGGCTGGAGCACCCCTTCCCCTTATGTGGCAGTCGGTTGTGAGTGTACACTGCGCCATCACCGCGAACGCAAGCCTACCTTCCCGTGGCGGTCATTTCCGTGTCGTTTCTTTTCGCTTTTTTGCGTTTCTGGAAACCCACATTCGCGCGAAATTCTGCGAAGACTTCCACACACACCCTTCGACTACTGCTGTGGCTATACATCTCGAAAGGGAAGTCTCTCTTTGATTGCACATATATTTTCTAATACAACATTATGCGACAACTCAAACAGGCCGCACGAAGGAGCGTCGCCGGTTGGAACGACCGCCGAGGTACGGTCGGGCCACGGCGGTTCCGCCGAGGATGCTGCCGGTGGAGGTGAAGGCGGAGACGGTGGGGGCTTGGCGATGATGGCCAGGGGGCGGCATCGCTTCCGGCTGGTGGAAGACCTGGGCTGGAGGTAGGTTTCAGGACTTGACGTTGACAGACGTGTGTGTAGCAGTCGGTTTGTCAGGTTACCCGAAGCCATTCAGCCCAAAGGTGTCGGGTGGCCTCCAAACCAGCCCGATGATAATGCTTGTTGTCAGTGGCGTGTGTGTGTTGAACGGTTTTTGCCGGGTGTCGAACAAACACCGGCGCTGAATGTCCTAGGCGCCGAACCGGGTGAAAACCCTTGTCGAACGAGCTTACAGGTTGTTCCGTTTGTACTGGTGGCGCCAAGAGAGAAAATTGGAGAGCAAGATGGGGCACAAGTTTGCGCACAGACCGGTCTCTCGCAGGAAGAAACCCGGCCTTCACAGCTTTAGTGAAGATAACCCCTTGCCGTGCTGTCCGAAAACCCATCTTCCCGTGACTGGGACAGAATTCGCGTGCCCCCCCGCCCCCCTTATCGTTAATTCGATCGCACACTCACACCACGTTCGGCCACGTCCCCTCGGCGGAAATTTCCCACATTTTTTTCAAAAACAAACAACACCACCAATGCGACAACAATCGCTTAAAGGCGGGGCGTGCGCTACTGGAAGGTGGTCATCTGCTCGGACCATTGCCCGGGAACGTTCCAGCCCCCGGTCCCCCGCGCGTTCCGCGAGTTCCCCGGCACCGGTCGCCGAGGCCGCCGCCGCCGCGACGGCGGAAACCACTGGACGATGGCGGTCCCCCGCTTTGCCGTCGTCGCCAACTCTCCGGCAGTCCTTGCGGCGCGAGCGGCGTCCCTCCTGCGCGAGCAGAGGGAGCCTCTTCCGCACGGCGCTACTTCGGGGGCACCGCAGGTTGAGGAGGGGGGTGCGAGGAACGGGGGCGAAGGGGTTAGGGGGAACGTAAGAGGAGGCGGCGGGGGTGTCAGTGTTTCTTCTGCTGCCAGAGTCGAAGGAGGGGTATCACAGGGAGGTGGGGGTAGTGGTGGTGGTTGCGATAGCAGCGAGGACGAGGAGGAGGGGATGCCGCGGCGGAGAGGGAAGCTAGACCCGACACTGTTTTCCTTCTGGCTGGCCGCCAACCTCCCTCTGGACGACGTCGCGAGGCAAGAGCTGCTCATGTTGGACTCGGTCGTCATGCGGCTCAGGTGCGGAGCCCCCCCCCCCCCCCCCCCCCCCCCCCCCCCCCCCCCCCCCCCCCCCCC